CGCGGCTGAACTGCGTTAGTCTTGGATCGGGCGGCTGAACTGCGTGCCTTTCGGAATGCGCGGCTGAACTGCGTGCCTTTTAGTCTAAGGTATCGAATTGTCGTCTCCAAATCAAATAGAAAATGTATATCACATTACAACTACAATTTAACACACACCCAGGACGAGGGATAATAGGTGTTCTGGATCGTCCACCAAACAATATCCAAAAGACAGAACCGACAAATTCCGAGTGGAAGTGGTCTTTTTTTAGGCTCTGGAAAAGAGGCCTCGTGTTGGAGATTTTTGCACAAAAACGATTTTGTCTGTTACGGAGCTACAAAAAGGGCCACCGATGTAAAAAACGGCTTGTTTCAATGCATATTAATAAAATTTGGACCTTTTGTTGCCGGGAACTAGCACTACAAATGATTTTGCCATATCACTTCCGTCTTTTTCTGGAATTGCCCATCACAGGTTGCACGAGGGCAACATGTCTTTCTTAGAGGGAACCTCTGCCACGGAGTCACAGTCTCATTCTTTTGTTTTTTGAGTCCGCCCTTCTGCTTTAAAAAGGCGGGCTTATGCAAACGACCTCTTGTGTGTCTGTCTGTCCGTCTGTTCCACTAAAGGGAGTCGTGCTAGAGCCTTGAAATTTTCAGGGTATCTTGAGGTTCACTCCTAGAGAACGAAACGCCTACGGCAAATCCTGGCAACCACCCCTAAGGGTGTGAATGGGGGTATCAAGGTTCAGAAATCCCTTCAAAAAGTTAAAGTTTTTCATGTTCTTCTAAGGGGTAACTCGTCGAAGTAGAACCCTTTGCCCTGATGTTTTGTCCGTTTGGCTCTATCTCTAACCGTTTGGGCGCTAGAGGGTCTTTTTTGACGAAAAGAAGCTAAAAATTGCTGTAGTGAACAAAGTTGTAGGGGAAGGCATAAAATCGCAAAATAGGGAAGGAACTCCCCCCGCCACCCAAAAAACGTTTTCGAAGCAGAAGGGTAGGTTGTAGTTACGGTGCTTCACCGTTGGTGTATGTGATTATGTGAGAGACAGCAGGACAAAAATAAAGTGCTTCCATCAGACGCAACGCCTCGCACGTGGACATTTTTCAACCTTCTAGTTCATAGAAATATGGGGTGTCTATTAGAGACCAGGACGGAAGTGGTCAGCGAGAGCTATTGCTGCACTGCTATCTAGCGGCGTCTTCGGGGGCTGGTGGTCCAGTGCAGTAGGCTAGCTTTTGCGGATGAATCACAACCTCCAAATAGCTATGGGTGCAGTAATGTCGATCTGCGATTTGCTCATATAGAGCGCGCGTGGCAGTGCTGCCGTCTTAGCGCAATACAATTTTGGGAGAACTTCGTCCGTTTCAGAATTCCTTTTCGGACCTGTGCTCAACCTAGCATTCTGGTGCGTAAGGGTTGAAAGGCTTTCATCAAAAATTTATGAACAGGGAATAAATTACAAATGCGTCAATTCATTTCAAAAACACGAAGAAGTCGTTTTGAGAGATCAACAAACTGCTCGCAATTTTTCAAAAGAATAATGTAGCGAAAGAAACATGAATTGTTCGTTATTTTACGAAAAAACATTTTTTTGCGGATGGTTGAACAGTTTGTTTTTTTACGAGGAAATCGCTGTTTTGAGAAAACAGCGAAATCAAAGTACAAATTTAACCACTCTTTGTTCGTTATTTCATGTTAAAAATTTTAACAGTGTATGACGTACATTGTTACGTCTTTAATATCCTTTTATGACATATGTTTTTAAAAATCTTCGGTTCGGTTCCGTCACATCTCAATAAAGTCGTACATTAGTTGTCTCCACTGCGTCTACACTTAAACAGTATTTTCTTTTCACATCTATTTAAAGACGTCTATTAGTCGTGTGAAGAAATGTCTATTGTTATATGATCTAGGCACATCTACTCAAAGACTCAATTTAGACGGTTATAATCACAATCGATAGCAGCAAGACGGTTTATAGATGTCTATTGCTAGAAATCTACCCCCAAAAAAATGAGTTAGAGGAAGGTCGATCATCTATAGAAGTCTATCTGCCGTGTGGATACATTATGCTTCCGCGATACAACACCGACCAAATATCGAACGTCAACTCGATGCACCGGATCTCGATAGTGATCAATGATATTACGATATACAAACGAAAAACTCAAAAGAAAACTCAGAAAAAGGAAAAACAAAATAGTTTTAACGTAACACGCTGCAAATTAAATAAATGAAGTAATCGGGCACACGTACAGCATTACTAAATCATAATAATCACCTGACTTTTTACTTCCTTTCCAAGTGGAATTACCAAGGATGTCAGCACTTGCGTCCTTGCTGCTTCAACACAGTGAAGTTATAAGACCGTCTTCGAGCTCAACGAAATTTAGGAGGGGATTTTCCCATTTTTTAATTGGAAAAGTGAGTATAGTCTCAGTCTAATGTATAGTCGCTAAGAGGGTGATTCTACGATAGAGTGCAAATTTGGCCTTTCAAACATTTGACAATTTAATCTTATACAACTTAAATTTATCTGCTTTAACACGTTTTGGGCACATTTAGCGAACGACCAGCAAAGCCTCTGCAAAGACTTATCGGTGGAAGCAAGAAATATGCTTGAGCGTGACCACTAACCTTTACATGCCCTTCAATAACTTACGTTTTCGATGGCCAGTGCGACAACTGGTCGCTTGAGCCTGGGTGTTTTGTTCAAACCATTTCTCCGGCCTAAAAGACTATGTGTAGTTTGGAATCAGCGTTGCTGCCTCTGCCAATGCTGCGATCACAGATGTCTTTTTGTTGGCATAAGGCCCCAAAAATGACACCCCCTCGCGGACCTGTTTGAGGCTACGTACCGGTGAGACACTACGGCGAACAGGTGGTGCGGTGGCCAACACTAATAGGCAGTGCAGAGGGGCGCCTAGGCGCGGGCAGAGGCAGGAATCCGTACCCGAAGGGGTCCCCCCACTCTACAGGCGCGGTGTAAGGGGGGGGGGGGGAGCCGCCTGAAAGGTAGGCAATTCGTGCTACAAAACCCCTGTATGTAGGCAACCCACAGTGCATCGCCCCCCCTGTCGCACCCTCCTAAGACCGCGCCTGCCACTCTGAGCGCCCGCCATGCGCAGTCGGTGTTCGAGGGAGACAGAGCGAGAAACCCGAGGCAGCGGATAGCGATGTACCGAACCTTGCCGAACGAACCCGAGCAAACGGGACCCGTTTGGAGATCGAGACTCGACGAGCGGGAGTGAGGGGAGCAGGCGACAATCGAGCGGGCAGCAGCTCCGAGTGAGCAGCAACGAGCAGCATTCGGGCGCCGATTCCGGTCACTGTGCGCGGGTAAACGATGGTATCCTACGAAGGATTTTGAAGAATTCTATTACGAACATATGCTTCGTATGCTTACGAACAAATAGTTCGTAATGCAAACCGATTGTTTCCAGGTAGCACTGGCCGGATATATTTGGTCAATATTTCAATTATGTCTGCAAAATATCGCGAAAATAACGGCAAAATAACGACCCAAAGTGACTGAAATATCTGCCTAAAAATTGACTGATAATCCGGTGTTATTGCAAGTATATTTTGTATCATACTAGGCAAAATTTCTAAACAAAATAACGGTGAAATATCCAGCAAACATCTGGGACATGAGAAAAACTAAGACGATCACACGGATCGGCGCCGGGAGTCGAACGCACGACTTTGCAGCCCGAAGGTGGGTGGCAAATCCACACCCACTGGGCCAGCCGTCGCCCTTAGGCAAGAAAGTCCGTTCTACGACGGTCGCCCAGAGAATGTCCGATCTACAAGCGTCGTTTGGAGAATGTTCGATCTTCGTTAGCCCGGCTAGAGAACGTCCGAAGCAACATTTTTGACTGTTTTGAGATATTGGTGCCATTTTCTGTAACTTAGCGAGATAAGTAAAATGGCATCAATATCTCAAAACAGTAAAAACGTTGCTTCGCATGTTCTCCAGGCGGGCTAATGCAGATCGATCATTCTCCAAACGACGCTTGTAGATCGAACATGCTCTGAGCGACCATCGTAAAACGGACTTTCTTGCATGGGGGCGACACATTGCTTTGCTCAGCTGCACGTGCGTATTGAATAGGAGGCCGCTAAGAGCCTTGTTTTAGAGTGATTGGTACTTTTTCCAATCTACGCTACAGGTACCGTCTACACCCCTGTGTTGCAAGGGGCACGGCTCACTCACCTAGACGTATTTCTTCCAACATTTGATTGACCTAAAGTCCGTTCACCCAGGCTCTTTTCACCCCCTAATTTTCAGCTAAGGTCCGTTAACCCTCGATTTCATCTAACCCATGCCTGGATAATTTGCCCACAAATAAATTAGGTTGCACCCTCTAAAATCTGTATGGAACTTGTAAAGGCAGTGTGCACAAACCTGGCGCCACCAGAAAACGCTCTCCTTGCCCGGATCGCATTTGACGTTGGGAACTCGTAACGGCCGCGAGAGAGACCACCATGTTCATCCCCAGCTGCCCTCGGCTAGTGCGCCTAGGAACGACGGGGCATCGGTCAGGTGAGACACTATGATCACTATTCTTAACTGCTGAGGTAAATTCAGTGTCACAGCAAACGCGTCCTCTACAGGGGCGTAGGTATAGCGACAGCCCATGTTACGTTTGGCGGAGCGAGTTGGCAGTTTTGAATGTTTTATGTAGCGGACATCAGGGGTGCACCATTCTAAGAGTAAAATACTGAAAAACGCCGGGTAGCGCTGACGCGATCGCGGTGAAAATACAAATTAATTCGGAAGCGCCTGTCAGCTAGGCCAAAACCTCTACAGGCGTGTAATGTGGGCGGTCTATATGGCCTCACCACAGGCACAAATACCCCTTTTAAAACTTTTTTTTCTTTTCAAAAACTCGTATCGGAGCGTTGGCGCTACCTGGCGTTTAGAACGGTTTTGATCTGCCCAGGTAAATGGGGTTGTATATGGCCATATATGAGTTTGATATGATCATATACAGCGATATATGCTTTACATAGTCGAGCCAGCCAAAGGTCCCGATTCTAGCGACCGTTACGGAGCCGCTTCCTCTCCACCAGCACACGGCGCTGTACCCCCTCCACGCGCATGGCGCGGCCACGCACGCGTCCTGCGCGCCCCCCAACCCGCCCGGCGGGGCGGCGGCAGAGGCAAACAACTGGGGCTCTGCCGCCGCAAACAATTTAAGGCGCTGTCGTCTTCTGCGTTGCTTACGTACGTTTTCTTCGAATCATCATCATCCGCCCGGCGCCCCGGTGCGGGGTGCCGTGACCACCGCTCACGGCCTTTTTTGAGTTTAACAGGGCAAGGAAATTATTCTGTTCATAAGATGTAAGTGTGTTTCCTTTTCTTGAATCTATAACTGTTCGAATGGTAGGACGTTATTTTGATATTGAGTGTACCGAAATGTGGGCGGACTGAGCAAACCCTCTATTGACAGTTGTATTTCTAGCACAACTGTAAAAGAGATGTTGAAAATATCAATAACATTTGTCAATAACATTCTACATTTTTCAGCCATTCTGTACTGCTGCAATCATGGGGAAAGTGAAAGTCACTCCCAAAAAGAAGAGGAGACTTAAACCTCTCTCAAGATTGACCGCCAATTTTAAGGGCTAACTTCCCAGTCGTCAACTGCAGTTGGCCATCTACAAATTGTACTGCTACTTCAGAAGAGAAAAGCCGAATAAAGAGACAGTACGCCCTGTCAACCAGATTGGGCAAGTCCCTAAAAGAGGTATTCTAATTGTTAATATCCACCATGTTTTAAATATCTGATGTACGTGGTATCATTTTCAGGAGGAGGGTTTGTGATGCCATGTGACTAAAAGACAACCTATTGACTCGTGTGAAAAGAATTGGTGCAGATGTGAAGCAGTTTGAAACGCCAGGCAAGAAGATAGTGAAGAAGAAGATCAAGAAGCATGCTGATGAGTTCGTGAAGTGTGCAATTAGAAATTTGGTTTATCAATTTCACAAAAAAAGGAAGGAGAACCCACTCACTGGTTGTTTAAAATTATTGTAGCGTTCTACTGTGGCTCAGCAGTCGTTCCTTGCCTCTAGGTCTTCACATCACAGTGAAAACTCTTCTGAGTGAGATAAAGTGAGTGGTAAACGAATATACTTCAATTGATTCCTTTTAACTGTTTTGCTGTTTTCACAAAGTGCAATTGTTCTGCAGAGAACGAGGCATCAAATTTAACGGAGGCAAGGAAACACTCCGTAAGGTTTTGCATGACTGTGGCTTTGAATTAATAAAAAAGATGACACATGGCATATGATGGAAAGGCCTAGAATCACATTACTGCGACTTGAGTTTCTGAGAAGGTTCAGGAAAGCCCACTTAGGAGGGAAGAAATGTTTTGTCTGCCTAGATGAAACGTGGTGCTTCCTGAATGGCTCTCGTCTTACCAGGTTATGGCAGGACAAATATATTCGGTCTTGACCTACTAGAAAAATTGGTAGTGCAGGTCGTTACATCCTTGTACATGCCGGAGGGCGGAGGATCTGTTCCTGGTGCAGATAGGGTGTAGTCCTCCTAGAGAAAACCCCAACCAGGAGATGATTACCATGGTGATATGAACGGGGCAATGTTTTGCTCATGGTTTTCTAAGGATGTGGTGCCCGCCATGGGTGTCCCAACCATATTCTTCATGGATAACGCTATATACCATTTCGGCCAGGCAAGAAAAAATAATAATTTTCTTAGTTAATTCAACCACTTAATATCTTTATTACTAACAATTGCATTTTTTTAAATGTTCCCATCTAATCGCGGAGTAGTTTGAGAAAGGGAATGCATTAATTCAGACAGCAGCTGCTGACTGGGATTTCTGTTAAGAGTGTCGTTTGAGTATGTTTAAATCATTGTAGGTTGTGTTTCTTTGTCTTTCTGCAAGGGGATTGTGCTTTGTTCATAGTAAGGAATGGTGGAGTATGTTTTTGGGTAACCTCCAGTCTACTGTGAGACGGGTTCCTTTTTTTTCCAGTTCCATGCTTGAGAATGCCATCTTATTGCTGTTTAGCAAACAAATATAAGTGTAAGTAAAATTAAAATTTTATTGTAATGTTATCCATTAACTTTTAATTCAATAGGTTGCTGGTCATGGACTGACTTTGAGACTGTAAACTACCAATAAAAGGCACCACCAGTTCCTTAAGTTATTTGCTTAACTTTGCTTCATTTCTAATAAAATGCATTGTGAATTATTCATAGATTACCATTCATTCATCATTTGGCTGAAACTATTGGGGCATGTTTTTCTGTGTTTGTGCATGCATGGCAGTAAGGGTTGCAATGTGCTGTGTTCTGTAATATGTTTTCTGCATTTTACTGGAAGAACATGAGAAACAACCCACATCAAACTCTAACAAGACTGAACTCAAGACTGGCTTAGAAAATAAGGAA